TTTAGCTGAAGACAAAACCCAGGAAAACTGAAGATGGAGACAATCTTGATCAGGATTTTGAAGAATGGACACAGCCAGTAATATTTAGAACAGTGTCACTTTCAGAGATTTGTGTGCTTAGCAGCTGAGGCATCAGTAAGTTTCTAAGTTATCAAAAACCCAAGCCTAGTCAGGTCAGGGGAAGGAGGTAATACTCAGTAAACCTGTTTAGCTTTAACAAGTTCCCAGCACTAATCTCAGAAGGGCAAATGAGCAAAACGGACACACACTTCACACTGTCATCAGCCATTTTCTCCAGCCCAACCTAAGGAATTTCCCAGCCCTTACACTGTGTTCAATAAATACGACTGTTTTTCACTGCCATCAACAGCTCAGTGCCAGAGAATAGGGACTCAGAATGTTTAGATACAGATACAAGGAAATGAGAATTTAAAAGCAGAATAGATCATTTTCTTTAGAATGGTCAAATGGCTCAGTTGACGTTTAATGACATCAAATGCCAGGTCACACCAAGGGACCTAACCATGGTTCATAAAACCTTTCCATCCCAGAGCTTACAGCTGAGGCTGTTCTTCCCACTAGTGGATACAATGCTGAAGACAACCAGCCTGGTGTGTGAAGACACTCCTTGTGTTCCAAGGACTGAAAATTCCTTATACACAGATAATTATACAAAACCAGCACTCCAAAGCAAATGTGGCTGAAGTTCACAGCCTCACAACACATGCCCCGTAACCGTATAGCAAAACTGGCCAACTACAGAAGATAAATTCAGACCATCCTAGTTGTCAATGTACCAGTAATTCAGGTCACAAAACTTTAGTCCATACATGAACATGCCCAACCTGATCCAGTTTGAAATATTCTCCACACTGACATGAGTACACTGGAGCATAATCTTGCTTCTGTACCTAACATTTAGGTCAACAAAAACAATGGACACCTTGACCTTTCCCAGAGGGTATGTCCATAAGCACTTCTGGACATCACACATTTCCTTATGTCTCACGGCCTACATCTGATCCTGACCACTTTTGCACTTTTCCATTGACTTGCCTGGCTTTTGCCTTAATCCACTCACTGTCCAGCTCCAGGATGATAATTTACTCAACACCCACACCTGATTTACCTTTGGCCCATTTCTCTGCATTATAGGTTGGCCTCAACAGTTGTAACCATCCACTCCCAAGAAACTCTGGCAGGCTGTTCTATTTGCTAACACTGAAGCTACTTATTGGTCACTTAGAAACCAAGAGGAACCAAATAGCCTGCTTCCAGTTATTTTACAATTACCTTCTGTCCTTCACTGGCCAACCTCTTTTTACTGCCCCAAATAAAAAACCAGAGATGAGGAACAAAAACCAAGTTTTTTATTTGTTCACTTCTTGCATTTGAAGTACTCCTCAATGACATCCTTGGCCTGAGACTCTTTGCCATAGTCCTAAAAAAGGAAAAAAAAAAAAACTGATTTTTAAACTAACATTTACAAACTCCATCAGGTTGTTAGCACTAGTTATAATTAAGCACTAAAAAATTAGCTCATTTAATGAAAATGCTTCTCATCATCACAACTTTTTGTAGCCATTTTCAGGGACCTTAATGACTTCAATGTCTTAAGGCTCGTAACATGGCTTTACTATTGCCAGCTTTCTTGACATTTCTGCAGAAACATATTCAGGTAAGCAGACTCACTAAGCTGGCTTAATTATGCCTTCTTTTCCTCTTCTGAAAAGAAGAAAACTATTTTGAAAATCACATTTTTTCCTTTAAGAGGTACTTGACTTACAGAACAATTTAGACTCATTACAGGATTACTCCTGGTTACCCAGCAAAACCTTCCTCCCCAGAGAGAAATACTCACCTTCACCACCACACAACTGCAACCAACCACTTTACGGGGCTTTCCCTCTCTGTCAATTTTACAGAGGCCTACCCATTCCCCTAGTTTCTTGTTGTCATCAACCTGTTGGGGGGAATATTAAGAAAAAGAAATCACCATATTAGGAGACATTAATGTTACTGGTAAAAAAAACCCAAACCCAAGAGGTAGCTGCAGTCAGATAGGGGTGACATGGCAGTTTCCTCAGGCAATTCAGTAGAGGGAGCCAGATGTCATCATGCACAGCACCAAGAGCAGTTAGCAGCAGTTCTTTCTACACCAACATCAAAACTAATCGTTCTACAGGAATAAAATGCTTCTATTAACTAGCTTTATCATAGCCCACAATGCCAAGTGTATGTTGTATTTTATTCTTTTCACATCTGCAGAAAGCAATGAGCTGATACTTTACAAAATTTGTCCTGGTAGGTGTGACAAAACAGCATTAATCCAGACACATGACCCTGACTGGCCAATTTTCATCAAGTTATCTCTTAGCAGTTCAGATAAATTAAATGGGTAACTTACCTTAATCAGGTTGATTTGATGTTCAGCACAAAGGGCCTCCACCAACTTGACATACATAGGCTCGTCACAGTTGGAAGCCAGCACACAAAGGTGGGCTTGGCGCCTGAAATGCAAAACCCACAGAAGCTTAAATTCAGGCCTATATCCACGACTCTAGTACTTTACAAGGTAGTTATCTTCGCACTAGCAAAACACAAGCAGCACACCCAATAGGGAACACAACTGCTTCACTCTGAGGACCGTTAATGAGCACAATTGTCATTCACCTATACCTAAAGTTTCAGTACCTCCTAAAAAAAATGCCCAGTGTATGTAAGGGAATGAGAATTTGTGACCCAAAAAAACACACGTTCTCTCACAAGCCAGCCTTACATTTAAAAACTGTTAGGTTGAGCACAACCAACCAGATAGGAAGTGTTATCTGGCCCAAACACTGAATCTTGTGCAGCACTGCCATGGTGCAAACTGTGCAGGGGTGATCATATCAGAACTGAAGTACTTCCAACAAGGAGCACTGTTTCCACTGGATTCAGGGCGCCAGTATAGACCAAAATCAAAAGGACTTCAATTTACCTGACTTGGAATCTCTCCCAGTGCACTGAAGTTCAGCTCATTGAGTTAAGCATGCAGTTGTCTTGCCAATGCAACCAGCTCAAAAACTGAAGTGAATACAAGTATTTACACACTCCACATTGGCATTGATTTCTACAGCTACGCTTACAATAGTCCATAAGTAACTGAAACAAGCAGCTTCCAATTCGTTCATTTAACTTAATGGTACAGTTTTAAAATGATAAATTCCAAGTGTTCCTATCCGTCTTCAAGACCACAGTGAAATTAAAAGTAGCTCCTCGACCTACAGGTTTGTCAGACTGCTTAGTTTCACTCATAAAAGAGTGAAGGGGTATCCGACAATTTAAGTCATCATTCAAACACTGTAGTTTGACTTAAAGAATCAACTACTCATCCCCATTCCAACCAAAAACCTGCGAACTTTAAGTGGGCTATACAGATCCAAGTTCTGATACCTTTTTCTAGGTTTCCTGTAGGACGGATGCCATTCACCTTTTGTGCTAACACCTTGAACTTCACGCTCTCTTCCCTTGGCTGCAGTTTTGTTCCGGTTCCAACAACCCACAGTATTGAGACTGATACACGTACTTGTCTAAGGCTTTGGCAGCTTCGCGAATTCCACGTGCTAGGCCATCGTGGATGAGAGCGGTCTTCAGCACTTCTTGTAAAGCAGTATTAACGTCCATTACACCTCCAGCAGCAATGCTGAAATGCAACAAGTGAAAATGATCAGTGAATTCCCCACACGGCATCTACCATATTCGCCTTGGACTGGGCAGTCGGCGGTAACGGGAGCTGCGCTTAGGGTGCCAATGCTGACCAGAGCGGCCCCACGCCTTAACCACACCACGACCCCGGCCCTGTGCTCACCCTTCCTCGGCCATGGCGGTGGATTACGGGTGAAGTCGAATCTTGAAATGCACTACAACACAAGAAAACCAAACTGGTTGTTAAAAAGTTGTTTAGGCCCAGGTGCTATCGCCAAACCCAGCAATCACGCAGCTAGCCACGCGCCCCACAAATACTCTTTCCCCCAGCTACTCACCCCGCGCCTCCGCCTCCGCGCGTGTCGGCGGCGGCAGGGAAAGAGGCCGCAGGAAGCCGCACGACGGTATTTAAAGGCTTCTCGGGACCACTCCCCCACCCTCCCCAAGCGCATGTGCACTCCCTTTCATGGAAGAGGTGGCTCTGGCGCTGCCGGGCCTGGAGAATATCTGTTTCCGTATTGAGGCAGCTCTGACACCGGGTACTTGCTAATCTGATTCAGGCGGTCGTTGTTACGCGCAACAGGCACCAATGCGGGCAGCCTCTCACAGAGGTTCGTTTCCGGCAGGGGGCGGGGCCTGTGGAAGCCCAGAGAGCTCGTTCTACGGAGCGCGGGAAGGGACAAGAGCTTCTGTCTGTGCAGTCTTGCTAAAACCAGAGGAGCCCAGATGCCCTCAGAGCCCTTTTTAACCCTTACCCCACCGAATTGTCATTTCTTGTGGACCCCAGTAACTGGGAGAACTTCCTGAGCAACACCGTCTCTGCCTTCTTTTCTAAGTCACTCTGAATGTCCGCGAATATGTAATTCTGTGGGTGATCCTCATCTGCGTTTTTCGTGAAACGAAAACCAACACGTATTCACTACTTTCAAGCATATTGTAAATTCCACTTTGGCGGAGATGTGTTAGTAAAGTGGAATCTCAAGCCAAGTGCTTGGCTCCAGTTCCTAGATATAGTTGGTTCTAAATAAAGGGTCTTTTTTCCCCCTTCCTTTTAAACTCTAGATTTTGGCTTGAATTCGTAATCCTGCGCGATCGGGATTCAGTGGGTGAATTTAAAAGACTTACAAACGTACCAGACACAGGATAGGGTCTGGGAATGTAGAGATGAAAGTGCGGCCTCCGAGAAACCTGGCATTCCAGCACCGCAGAGTGTGGAGTGGAATCGAGAACTCTAAAACCGGTTCTCCCGAAGAAATATTTTGAATTTTCTATTGGTTGGCAGTCCCCCCCGCCTGCACGTCCTGAGCAAATAACAGAAGATGAGCGAACGTCATCAGGAGTCTTCTTTCACTGCTCCTGGCAAGTCGCCTGGCCAGTCAGCAGTCACTATGCGTTTGACAGGTGCAGGCGCTGTTGAACAGAGCGAACAGCGAACAAATACATTCAGGGTAAGAGTGCGAGATAGAGTTAATCAAAAGAGATATTCTGGACTTTGAAGACTTGATAAAGTTCATTTTTAGCTTTTCAAGTATTTTCATTTTTTCATTTTGTGTTGAACCTACGTTTTCCTATCATAACTCACCCTAAAAAAGTATTCCCTTAATTGTCCATTAATTAATTATTGAGCCTTGATTTTTTAAAAAAAGAGGCCAGAGAGTTCATAAAGACATTTGTTCCTGCCGGGTGTGTGGTGGGATTAAGATTTGAGTGCAGGATTAGAATACCTAAAGCTGAGGGACAAAGTGGCGTGGAGGTCAGAGTGGGCATGGTGAGGCAAGGGAGAAAACGGACTTTATTTTTAGGCTTGTGGCAGCATGTGAAATGGGCTCAAAACAACAACAAGCGAAAAGGCTTCCAAACAGGGAGAACGAGAGGAAAGGGGAGGATATTCTAAGTGGAGGAAAGAGTAAGGCCAAAGCGCACAGACACCTCCCTGGCTTTTTTGGAAGTCATTTTAACACATTCATATTTTTGAAAGAGAATATGGTAAATAGTGTTTTAGTAAATTTCTCATTATCTAAAGTTAATATGCTAAGCATGTTAGATTTTTTTCCTTCAATCCCCCCTAAAAAAAAATCTTAAGGGAGAAGGCAGGGAATTTGATAAAAGGCTCAGGAGACATAAATTGTGGAAATAATCATTGCCAAACAATGTATATAGGGGGAAAATGATTAAGTAACTTTAAGCTTAAATTATTAGTTTCTGTATTTTAGCTGCTCACAATCTGTTCTGTAGACTCTAGTATAATGAGCCTATACCTTAATATTTCACCTTATAAATACCTTTTCTATCAGTTGTAAATCTCCCTCCTAAGAACCAGAAGTAGTCCTAGTTGTATGACTGGTTCTAATCCCAAAAATGAAATTAAAGGTCACACTGGTGATTCAAGGAATCTTTAAATAGATTCTCTTCCTTCACTTGTTTAAAGTCACCTCCTCTCAATTTTAGATATTACCAAAGGTGGAAGACAATACTAAATAGAGCTTAATGGCTAGAGTCACTCTTATACTAGCAGATTATAATAATTATATCATGTATGCAAAAGCGCTCCCAGGACATGGTACAGTGACTTGCATTTTGGAGTCACTAAACTAATGTGTACTGAATAAACTCATCAAATGAAGTTAAGTTTAAAGAAGCATCTTGGTAGATGGCATACTTAAAGAAAGCCATGCAGGGAACTACTGTCATAAATTAATGTCTCCTGTGAGTTAGTTGGAGGGGCATCCCAGAAAATCACTCAATTTGAAAACTTTCAAAATGTACCTACTTTTGCGGGTAGAAAATAAGGGAAATGGAAGCTAAGGAATAGGAGAGAACTCAAAATCTTAGCCCTCTGCATCTCGGGAACATGTAGGTCTGGCCTTGGCTTATGTAGCACACAGTTTTAAACATACTGAAGAAAAATTAGCTGTAGGTGAAGAAAAGTTTGAGCTAAAGAAGGTAAAATACTATTATATGAAGGGAAGAATCCAAGGAGAAAGAGAAATTGGTAGGAAGGAGGACAAAAAAGAAAATAAGACACGAGATGAATGCAAGTGGAATAGATTAATAAAGGCTGTAGGTAGTAGCTTATAAAGTTCATATGAAAGTCCTTTAACTGGAAAATCCAGTTTATTAAGGAGAAAAAGGTTGTGGTAGAAAATGAGGCCTAGATTATTATATAGCTAAGAATGCAGCCCATGTCAATAACATATTAAAGCTTTTGCATAATTTTCATCTAAATTTTCTTAAGTCTAGCAATATTTCCTCAGCTCTTGTTTTTTTTGCTACCAGATGCTACCTGCATTTGTTTGGGTGCTGTAGCTGCTTGCTACAGGGATGACTGAGAATGCGTAGCATACTGATGAAGCTAGAGATAATACTTAGTTTATGAATAAACTGACTGTAAACCAGCAACACAGGTAATATATAAATGAATTAAAGAGTAGAGGCCAATAGAGCAAACCTGAAATTAATATTAAATTTTTTCACTTGGGGCACAAGGAGGACCTGGGTGTGAAGGACTCCAGCCCCCAGGGCTGCTTCCTATAAATAATCTCTGCTGTTATCTGTGCAGTTTCTTTTGAACACTGGGTCCTAATGCTCTTAAATGTGTTTGATAAGCAGTTCTTGTTAGAGAATTAATGGGATGAAGCCAGACCATTCCTGTCTTTAGAACTAAAGCTACATTAAAAAGAAAAAAAAATCCCTACTCATTTAGCAAATTCTAACCCCCAACATCAAAGCTAAAGGACAGACTGGTGATGCAAGAATTGCGATACAGATTCTCCTTTCTTTCACTTTCTGACTGTAGCCTTGTTTAGAATATTTCTAGTTGCTGGACCTCAAGCACATAATCAGCAAAATATAACAGGGACTTGAATGAGTTTCCCTAAAACACTCTTTTGGTTTGGAAATTCTATGCCATCACTTCGAAACCATAATTTTAACTTTTAGTAAATGTTGAATGCCTCTATGGTCTGCCATATTTGTTTTCTGATAGTGTATGATTCCAGCCATGTGAGACTGGACTATATAGCTGACACCAGCTTCCCTCCTGTGGGTACAGGTTATAAATGATCTCTTTAATTGTAAATGCCAGTTGCTGATTTTTTTATATTAGGACAAGCAAGAGTGTTAATGTAGAAAATGTGGATAATACTCTATTAATTATAGTTCTTTGCATGCAACAGAATGATTTGTGGCTTACATAAAAAAATTATTGGAAAGCAATTGGATGGTTCAGACTATTAAAGGGTTTGCTGACCAACCATGTTTGAGGAATGCTTCAAGAGTTCTTGGTTACAGGAACTCATGAGAAGTTTCATAAGGCAGTGCTTCTCAAACTATATACTGTCTAAGGATTTTCCACCCAGTCCATCACACATCATTAATTTAATAAAATACAACAAATGTTAATTACCAGGAGGTTTTACAAGACTAACCCTTTTGCAGATAACAAATATGAGTCTAAAAGACTTTAAAACATTTGCCTGAGGACACTGAAGAGTGACAAAAAGCAGACAGAAATGGGGGGTAGGAGTGGTGATCAACACTTGCAAAAAGGAATGGCACTGGCTGGATTCCATTTATCTGGCTTTTAGCATAAGAGCAGCCCCCAGTCATTGCCACTCAGGGCAACTAATTGTCAGAGTTCCTCAGTTTTACTAACTGGAAAATGGAGGATAGAGTTTAGAGCAACCATAGCTTGTGGAAATGAAGGGGAAGGGGAAAATAGCAGAAAAGAAAGTCAAAAAGCAGTAGACCAACCTTGTGTGTACCAACTCTCCCTAAGCTCTGGCTGGCCCCTGAACTATACACGCAGGGGACAGACTCCAGGCCACAGAGCAAAGGCTAAACAAAATGCACAGAGATTTTAGCTGCTTCTCTTCACTGGGGAAACATATTCCAAAGTTTGGGTCAAGGCAGGTTAACTCTGCTGAAATTAAAAAAAAAAAAAGTTCTTTGAAAAAATACGACAGAATCTAGACTCTACAATGTATTACTCATGGTTCTTGATATGATCCAAAATTATTGCATATCTAAGAAACAGGAAAACATAATTCATACTCAAGATAGAAGGCAATCTATGGAAAGTGACCCCAAATGATCAAAATGTTAGAATTAGGAGGCCAGAATTTTAAAGCACTATTAAACATGTGCTCTGGAATGTTAAAAAAAAACAAATAGGAAAAATAGAAAACATAAGAGAAAATAAAATAGTAATTTAAAATCTGAAAAGTAAAACAGAAATAAAAAACTCACTGGAAGAGTTAGTAGCAGATTGTAGATGACAAAAGAAAGACTCGGTAAACTTTAAACTAGATCAAATTGAAATTATCCAATTTGAAGAAAGGAAAAAAACACTGAAAAAAATTAATAGAACTGTAGTGATCTGTGGGATAAAATCAAAAGGTCCAACATTGTGATATTAAATACATAATCCTAATATATATGCAATTGGAGTGCAAAAAGGAGTCAAAACAATGACATAGAAAATATATTTGAAGAAATAAAGTCCAAAAGCTTCCAAAATTGGGTGGAACACATAAACTTCCATGTTCAAGAAACTTGTGAACCCCAAGAAGTATATATTAAAACACAGAATACTTATATGCATCATACGTGAACTACTAAAACTCAAAGATACAAAGAAAATTCCAAAATCAGCCAGAAAAAAAAATAAAATACAGGAAACCAATAATGCAGAATTATACTGATTTCTCTTGAGAAATTATAGGAGCCAAAAGGCAGTAGAACCATGTCTTGAAAGGGCTTAAAGATAACAACTCTCTACCTATATTTCTATATCCAATAAAACGATCCTTCAAGAATGAAGACAAAGACAGTCAGAGATGAACAAAAACTAGTAGAATTCATCACCAGAACATCCACACTTGAAGAGATATTACAGAAAGTTATTCATGTTGAGAAATAATTTAAAATGGAAAATAGGTCTTCTGGAAGGAATGAAGGACCTCAGATATAGTAAATATGTAAGTAAACTTAAAAGACTATTTCTAAATAAAAAACTATATTGAAAGAAAAAATTACAGCATTCCATTATGGACTTTATATCATTTGTAGATATATATGAAAAATAAAGCATAAATAATTGGAAAGAGATACTGGGTAACTGGACCCATTTGGGTGCAAGTTTTACATGTTTTACATATTTTACATGAAGTGCTACAATATTAACTCTAAATGGACCAGAAAAGTTAGATATGTATATTTATAATCCCGAAGGAACCACTAAAAGATAACTCAGAGATATATACAACAGATAAATTAAAATATAATTCCAATTTTTTTTTCATTTAAGCCAAAAAGAAAAGAAAGGGGAAACAAATGATAAAAAACAGATGGGAAGATATAAAACAAATGACAAAATAAAATAATTTAAAAAACTGCTTAAATTGAAAAGCAGAGATTGTCAGAGTAGATTTTAAAAAGTCAACTGTATTCTGTCTGCAAGAGATGTATTTTAAATATAAAGACACAGATAGGTTAAGAGTAAAAGAATGGGAAAAAATATACCATACAACCAATAAACATAAAGGCTGTAATGACTATGTTAATATCAGTTAAAGTATACATCAAGAGTATTACTAGTGATAGAGACATTTCACAATGATAAATGAGTAAATTCATTAAGGAGATATAAGAACTGCAAATATAAATATAAATACCTATACACATATATAGTAGCATATAAATATGTATGTATGAATATCTATCTCTATATACAGTAGCAGAGCATCAAAATTTGACAGAATTAAATAGTATAATAAACAAATCAAAAAGCATAGTTGGATATTTGAACATCCCTCTCTCAGCAATTGATAGAATAATTAAACAAAATAACTAAGGTCATAGAAAATATGAACAAAACTGTCACTTCGACCTAACTGACTTTTAGAGACCACTACATCCAACAATTGTAGAATATTACTATTTTCTATTACATATGGTACTGCTCACAAAGACAAAGTGTATTCTGGGCCATAAAACAAGTTTCAGTAAATTTTAAAAGATTGAAATATTCTGGAATATTTATTTGCCACAATAGGCTTAAGTTAGAAATCAGTAATATAAAGATACCTGGAAAATCCCCAAATAATTGGAAATTAGAAACACAGCTCTTATTAACCCATGACTAAAAGAAGGAAACATAAGAGAAATTAGACAATACTTCAAACTGAATGAAAACTTATGGGATGCCATTAAAGCTGTGTTTAGAGGGAAATTTAAAGCCTAAATGCTAATATTAGAACATAGGAAAGAACTAAAATCAATGATACAAGCTTCTAAAGCTTGAAAAATAAGAGCAAAGTAAACTCTTATTTGGCTTTACTCAAAAAGAAAGAAAGGAAGGAAGGAAGGAAGGAAGGAAGGAAGGAGAGAAAGAGAGGAAGAAAGAAGATAGTCTCACTGGTGAATTCTGCCAGACATTTAAGGAAAAATTAATGCCGATTTACATACTCATCCAGAAAATACAGGAATAGGAAAAACTTATGACTTGTTTTATGAGTCCAGGATTACCCTGATACCAAAGCCTCACAAAAGAAAAGAAAAGAAAATTACAGAGCAACATTACACATAATAATAGAAAAATCCTTAATAAAATGATAAATTGAACCCTCCTCATATAAAGAAGATAATATGTCCTGATTTCATTTGGTTTATCCCAAGTATGCAAGGTTGTAGTAGCATTAGAAAATTAATCACTATACTTCATCATATCAACAAAATAAAGAAGAAAAGCCATTTATAATAAATTCAGAAGAGACATTTGATAACATTCAACATCAAATCATGTTAAAAATCCCTCAAAAGATCCCAAATAGCCAAAGCAATCCTGAGAAAAAAAGAACAAAGCTGGGGGGATTATGCCGCTGACTTCAAGCTCTACTACAAAGCCACAGTAATCAAAACAATCTGTAACTGGCACAAGAACAGACCCATAAATCAATGGAACAGAATAAAGAGCCCAGACATAAACCCATGCATATATGGTCAATTAATATACAATAAAGAAATCATGAACATACAATGGGGAAAAGATAGCCTCTTCAACAACTGGTGTTGGGAAAACTGGACAGCTACATGCAAAAAGAATGAAACTGGATTACTGTCTAACTCCATACACAAAAGTAAACTCAAAATGGATCAAAGACCTGAATGTAAGTCATGAACCATAAAACTCTTAGAAGAAAACATAGGCAAAAATCTCTTGAATATAAACATGAGCAACTTTTTCCTGAATGCATCTCCTTGGGCAAGGGAAACAAAAACAAAAATGAACAAATGGGACTACATCAAGCTAAAAAGCTTCTGTATAGCAAAAGACACCAGTAGCAGAACAAAAGGCATCCCACAGCATGGGAGAATATATTTGTAAATGATTCATCTGATAAAGAGTTAACATCCAAAATATATAAAGAACTCATATGCCTCAACACCCAAAAAACAAATAAATGAATTAAAAAATGGGTGGAGGACCTGAACAAACACTGCTCCAAAGAAGAAATACAGATGACCAGCCAGCACATGAAAAGATGCTCCACATGACTAATCATCAGGAAAATGCAAATTAAAACCACAATAAATTATTATCTCACACCACTTAGGATGGCCAATATCCAAAAGACAAGAAATAACAAATCTTGGTGAGAATGTGGAGAAATGGGAACCCTCTTACACTGTTGGTAGAAATGTAAATTGGTGCAACCACTACAACCACTATGAAAAGCAATACAGGGGTCTCCTAAAAATTAAAAATAGAAATACCATTTTACCCAGTAATTCTACTCCTAGGAATATGCCCAAAAGAAAACAGTATCCCTGATTTGAAGAGACATAAACACCTGTATGTTTATAGCTGCACTATCTGAAATCGCCAAGATATGGAAGCAACCTATGTGTCCATCAATAAATGAATGGATAAAGAATATGTGGTACATATACACAATGGAATATTATTCAGCCATGAAAAGAGAAGAAATCCTGCCATTTGCAACAACATGGATGGATCTAGAGGGTATTATGCTCCCTGAAATAAGGTGGAGAAAGACAAATGTCATACAATGTCACCTATTTGTGGAGTATAAAAACAAAGCAAAACAGAAGGAACAAAATAGCATAGACAGTGTGAAAGGCCTAGTGGTTACCAAAGGGGAGGGATTGGGGAAGGGTGAAGGAGATAAAGGAGCACAGTAATTTGCAATCACAATATAAGTTGGTCATGGGGATGGTAGTACAGCATGGAGAATATAGTCAATGACTCTGTAACATCTTACTATGTTGATAGATAGTAACCACACTAGGAAGGGCGAGGATTTAATAATATGGGTAACTGTTGAACCAGTGTGTGGTATGTTTAAAACCAATGTAAGATTGTATATCAATGATACTTTAATTAAAAAAAAAAAAAGAAGTGGCATTTGAACAGAGACTGTGTTATTCCATTTTAGTTTGTAAAGTAAAAAGTATTTCATGTGTATATATGTCTAGATAAGTGTATAAAAATTTGAATAGAAAATTGTGGTAAGCTGAGAATGGCTCCCAAAGATATGTCCACATCCCCAAATCTGTGGAACTTGTAACTTATTTGAAAAGAGGGTCTGTGCAGATGTGACTAAAGATCTTGAGATGAGATCAGGTTCTTCTTTGGAGAATAGACTTTGTTTCATGATTCTTCTAGTGACACAGAATATACGTGTAGCTTCTTGTCAACACATGGCCACCCACTCCGTTTTGTTTTATGCCTCAATTAGCCTAACTGAATCCATCTTGGTTTTGTGGCATAGCTGGATTTTAGGGGAGGTGAACTCAGTTTTGTCTTATTTTCACACTATTGTAGAACTCATCACACTATAATAAATCACTTTTAAACTATATTCTCTGTGCTGTACTTTTGATCTTCACATTATAATAAATTAATTGGTGTCTATTTTATTTGCTAGAAGGAGATATGCTACTTGAGGGCAGATGCTGGATGGAGCTCATTCATCTTTAAAATCACAATATCTAAATGAGTCCAGGATGGCTTCCTGGATGGAGGGAGCTCAACAGTCTTTTGTTTTATCTTGGCCCCAGAGAATTTCCTAGGTCTCAAACTTTAACTCTTCTCATATAGTTAAAAAGGTGAAGATAAGCAAAGCCTCTATTTTTTGTGTGTGCCAGGTTTGTGAAAGTGAGAGTAAGTAGCACCATCGTGTTTGCATGTCACGACTTCACATACTTTATCCCCAGTGCTCACCCTATGATGCCGGGGTTCTTGTTCCTGGAGCCAGAGAATGAGCTTTGCAAACACTCAAGGTAGGAGAGCAAGGTACAGGCTTTTATTTACAGGTTCAGTGAGAGGACAGAACCCCTGGCTCACGCCGGGAGGGGGCAAGAGAATCCATGGTTGGTTCGTTGTCTAGGGCTTTTATGCGTGGTTGAGGATTTTTAGGAATAGGGGTAAGGGCTAGGGGTGTAGACTTGTTAAGTGGTCCCAGAATGCTCTTTATTGATGATAACAGAAGAAATTTGCTGCTCTGATTCTTTCTCAGGATAGCAGTTTCCCTCTGGGAGCATGTCAATTAAGACTGCCTGCCCTGCCCCCAAGGTGGGCTGGGTTGTTGCCTGTTTGCTAAAGTGTGTTAAGAATCTTACTTCTTAACTTCTTGGACTGTTTATAGTTGGGCTTGCTTACTAAATTAGTCCTTTTCCTAGGTTGCAGATTACTTGGTTAGGATCAGAGAAGGAAATACAGCACATAGGTACTGTTAAAATAAGTTGGGCCTTTTAGCAGGCTAAGGTAAATTTTACAGGGTCATGATCTAAATTGATGCAGTGAAGTCACGGGTTATGCTGAGACACTTTATCTGGAGAACACTCAAACATTCCAGGTTAAGTGCTGCTGGCCTTTTGAGCTTTAACTGATCTCACTGAAGATGTCTATATTCCTAGTCTGGTATCTTTACCCTAGAGAATCAGTGTGACTGACTTTGCGTAATGCTTAACACAGAGTTTTGATAGGGACTTCTTTGCACATTTGTTACATTGTTCTGACTGTAATTATCTTGCTTTGCTTTTTTTCCGAAGGGCCTCACCCTACTCTGCCTAAACCGGGCGTCACCCTACTCTGCCTAAACCCACGGTCTCTGTCTCACCTACAAGGTAGGAATTATAGTCCCAGTTGTACATATGTAGAAACTGACCTTATCGCCAAAAGTTACAGCTAGTAAGTGCCCCAGATTGACTCTCAGGCATCTGCCTCCGGAGGCTGCAACCCAGCCAGTCCACCGTGCTGCCTCATCTTTCTTGAAAATATTTTTCTACACTAGGTGCTTCCCAATAATTGATGTAATTAATTCACTTCCCGTTTACTAATGTGAACTTCAGTGACTACAGACACTACATCATTTACCCACTGTGAAAAATAACGCAATGTTGAAAAGAGTCGTTAGGAGCCTAATTTTCTAATCCTCATTTGTGTCTTTCAATTTAGGTACTCTCTCTTTTCTGTGTCTAGATAAGCTTCCTTTCTGGCTGTTAATAGAAATAAATTGTATTCATTTTAAGATGGGGGGTTCAATTTTATGTAATGTAGACTCACCCTTTATTTTTTTTGTCCTGTTTTGTCTTCATACAGAATGAAAATGTACAGCGTTTAACACAGAGAAGACAAGTAGTGGCTCTATAGCATTTTACTACGCTGATGGACAGTGACTGTAATGGGGTACGTGGGAGGGACTTGATAATAGGGGGAATCTAGTAACCATAATGTTCTTCAAGTAATTGTACATTAACGATACCAAAATAAAAATAAAAATGTACAGCGTAGCTCTGAAGTGGTGGATTACGATTATAGCCTGGGATTTAAAAAATACAAAAAGGGCCACCCCGCCCCGCCCCGCCCCGCCCCCGGGAGCACCCGGAGCGCGCTGTCCCGGGGCGGTCGTGGACGCGGGGCGGCGCCGAGCAGTCATCGCCGGCGCGTCCGCTCGGGCGCTGGTTCGAGGTCGAGTCCGAGGGCGCGGGCTTGGCCCCGGGAGCGGCGGCGCCGGAGTCCGCTCAGCGCGCATGGACGAGCCCGGGCACCCCGAGCGTTCGTGCGCCAGCGAAGGTGACCGAGAGCAGAGCGGGGAGCGCCTCCGCGGCTTGGGTCCTGTCTCTTCATCTACAATCGTGTCACCTTGAGCTTGGGTTGCTTCTGAACGATCCCCGAAACCTGATAATGGGTTCGGGTCCGTGGTCCTCTTCTCCCTGGAAGGGGTTAACTCGGGCTGGCACTGGTTGTGCGTCTAAGCAGTTTGTCCTGTAGCTCTGCGCTGAAGCCCTGTGTGTTTAAGAATGTGTTCAGAGAGGTAAAGTATACCGTGAGACAAACGGAAAGCATTACTGATCTTGCACCCTCTGTTCCCTGCCTTTTAACTTTCAGTCCCCTTCCTCATCTATTTCAAAATTTTTACAAAGGCTATTAGGATTTTCTCAGCTTTCACAGATTTGTGTGTTTTTGTTTTTTGTTTTTGTCTGGACTGCACAGGTAACCTCTGATAAATAGAACAAATCAAATATATTCTTCTTAAACTGTTTTTTGTGAACTATTTAATTTAAAAATGGGTGATAGATTTGAAGCTGAGTAATTGACCTGGTACCTTTACGTGAAATGAAAATTTAGCCCTGGGAATAATTACTAAATTAATGGGTGAGAAAGACCAATAATTAGTGTAAAATATGCATGGATGTATGGATTAGTGGGACTTGTCATTCCAGGAGCATTCAGCTGTAAGTATTAATTTGCCAATTGAATGCTTTAGCTTGTTTTCCCCAACTTACATTTCTCTTGACTTCAGTACTGCCCTAGAATGCTTATGCAGCTAACAAGCCATACTTAAAACATTATTGAGTCCCTGTACAAGCACAGGAAGCTAGTAACTTGAGAAATTACATTATATGTACTTCAGAAAACATTAGAGATCACCCTGTTGCCTCCTTTCCTTGAGGGAATTTTTAAACGAGAAAGCACTAAGCCTAATGGTAAAGGCAAAAGAGATCACATGGTCTGAAAAATTCTGCACTATTCTAATAGGGAGTAGTATGTTAATGGAAGCAGTATGTTTTCAAAATTGCAGTGATGTACAAGGACGGTGCTACATTTTATCACATAATCTATATTCAAAATAGCCCAAAGCTCAGCAAATGTTATCTTCGGAGTGCATCATCTGTGCATGGAAGTGATTTTGTACTTTGATCAGTAGTCCTAATTAATTGTCATTATAATTGTAGCATGTTTGCATTTTAGGTGATGGCCCTGCAAGAAGTGTAAAAGGGACATCCAGCCTGCTTTCAAGAGAACAGCTTTTTGTACTGGTATCGGCAGCTGCCGTTAACTTAGTTTCTATGATGTGCTATTCTATCCTTGGACCCTTTTTCTCCAAGGAGGTGAGACATTTGTATATCCTATGAACTGTAATTTTTTAAAAAGTCTTTTGAATGTTTTCATTTTTACAGTATGTAAAATGTAAAAATCTGCAATTAGTAATAAAGATGATGCATAGAACTTCAGCAAACAGAAGACTTCTTACAGTATATTTGATACCTGAAAAAAAGGGGTTACTCTAAATAATTGAGATTTTAATGTTGCTTCAGAAGATCTATGTGAAGAAAGTAACTGCATTTCCTGGGGTTTTGAGCTGTTAATATTGGAGTTAAGAAGACATGGCCCACTAAATTCCATTTTCTGACTTGAATTTCTTGTGGAATCTAGTGGTGTGCCAAGGAGGAATTCTGATTAACATTGGCTAGTTCCTTTTAATCATAGCCTTTTATGTGGTGTTAGGGTTTATAGATAATGGCACAGACTCAAAGGGAATTAACCCCTAGGGATACCACCTGCAGTCTGGAGGTAAGGGGGATGTAGTATGAAAGGATCAGTATTGGTTTGGCTGAGTGGAGGTAGTACATCTGCGTGTTTTACTCAGTGCTCTTTGCCAAAGCCTCAATTCAAAATGCACTGGCCCCTCTTAGTCCTCTAACTGCTTTGATAACGTAGCTGGTTAGTCTGCGTGCTACAAAGGAGGAAAAAAATGGCTTCTCTGCTAAAGGAACAATATGACTCTGTGCCCACACAGTGTTTTTTAGCCTTTGGGGTGCTTCCCCACATGTTCATCCCATTTGGTTCCCACAGCAACTCCGTAAGACAGGCAGAGTAGTGAGAATCACTAGCCAATGAAGAAACTGACTGAGAAGTTGCATGACTGGCCCCATTTAGTTCTGTGTACCAAATGGGAGTGCAGGGGAGAGATCTAAGGACTTTCCACTCCAGAGTGTGCTGGGCATTGGGTGCATCGAGGCAGAAAAAGGACCAGGAAAATGCCCCTCTCTTGTCTGTCCATTTGGAAAGAAAAAAATATGGAAAAAAAGTTGCCAAGTACTGGGGCATCCTTTGAGAAAAGGAAGTCTGAAATGTAATGAGACTGGAGGACAGAATGGTTAATTTTGCCAAGAGTGAGGATGGAGAGATGAGAGAGGGAAGAAGGATGGGTGCTGGAAGGTACTTCACAGGATAACTCTAAGGTGGGTCTTGAGGGATGGTGGTTCTCAAGGTGAATAACAGAGGCAAGCAGCTTGAGGTAGGCATGGGGTTAGCAAAGTAAACATGTTCTCGGAGAGCAGCAGACAACTGCATACAGCTTGAGCCTGGGGTGGAGTGAGGTCTGAGAGCAGGCAGAGGACCCCAGGGGTCAGGTTGGAGTTAGAACGCAAAGGTCCGTCCATGCATGTCAAAGATTCAGTGAGAGAGGGGCATCACAGGTCAGCATGAGCAAGACAGGAGCCTAACCAGATGTGGTTTTTGGAAAAAAATAATGATGGGTGGGGGCCTGTGGAATTAGAGAAGAACTAGAGTAAATGGACCAACCAGTTAGAGGGGTGTTTCCCAGTTCAGTGGAACGCAGTGAGTACAGTTAATAGTTTCCTCTAGTATCAAGTGTTGGATTTGGTTTTTTGCTTACAGGAGGGAAGGCTGAAAGAAAGAGAGGTGGGGGAAAGCATTCTAACTTTAAAAGTCTTAGATATGAAGAGTGCGCGTTTCCTTTTTATTTCTTACTAAAGCCTTGTGGTTGACAAATGTTCTGGCAAAACTCACCCTTCCTCCTGCATGTTCTGTGACCCTTCCTATTAGCTAGAGCTAATGGGGCACAGGAAAAACAGGGCCCATCTTAAATTCTAGGGCAGGATTCCTATTTCTACTCATCCTTTATCTGGCACCCTCCTCCTTTGTTAGAGGATTCCATGTGAACTAGAAATCTCTTTTAATAGCTGTTCTTGCTTTCCCAATGTGGAGCAGGATCCACGTTCCAAAAGTGGTATTCACTGCTGCTGTGGTATGTGATTCCACAATATCCGAAGTCACCGCCCTGTTTCCTCAGTGAACGTGGACACAGGCACAGGATGGATGCCGTCATGGCTACTATGACCATGCCACCTTTGCCCATTTCTGTTCTCCTCTATAAATTGGGGCCAGCTAAAAGTACATCCCTTATTTAATTGTTGTTAGGAATTGTTGTAGATCCTTCTATTTTTGTACATGAATGCAGTTTTACACCAGAAGTAATAGTAGCACTGGGCGTTCCAAAGAAATAGTTTTAGAATAAACACTATATCATCTGTAACAAATTTGGGCACTCACTGATAGAATAAGCTGTAAACATTCATGGATGATAAATGGCTGTAGGTGTTCAGGAGAAGTATAATGTTAGGAAAGGGGGGAGCAGCATCTTTTATCTGTATTGGTGATGTCAGGAAAGAGAACTTTGTCTTCTCTGAACTGTTAGGTATTTGGATTGACATCAGAAACAAGGAACTAGACTGAAGGGGTCTTGGTATGACTCATGTGCCATCTCAAGGAACTTCTCGTTCTGGCACAGTGTTTTATAGGAGTTCAATCCTAAAACTAAGTGTGATATTGAGTAAGAAAAACATTTCCTTCTGTGTGTTTCTCCTTGACTTTCACACTGCTACCACACTCACAACACTTCTGGCACCAAATACGTGAGGGCTTTGTTTTTCCCCACACCAAGCAATTCTCTCTGACACCAACTGGGAGCCCTAGGATTAAATTCAATTCCGATATGTGACAGAATTCATTCAGCTCCCACAGGTTAGGGGCCCAGACCCATGAGGATTTCCCCACTTCAGATGCCAATTACAAGTAGTAGGTCCCTAGCTTACCCACAATTTTGTTGGGCTTCGCTACCAATAGGGGTTCCCATGACTCTCCTCCTTCTCTTGGATATGATTATTGGCTAGAGTGTCTCACAAATCTCAGGGAAATATTTATGTTTACTGGCTTATTATAAAAGAACATGGTAAAGTATGCAGGTGAACATCCAAATGGAAGGGATGGTAAGGCAAAGTATACCCGTCTCCTGGCATGCCACTCTTCTAGCACTTCCATGTGTTCACCAACCTGACACCCTCCAAACTCTGAACTTCAGGGACTTTTGTGGAGACTTCATCACATAGGCAAATGATCAATCATTTGCTTAATTTCCAGCCCCTCTCTGGAATATGGGGGTAGGGTTGAATATTTCAAGTTCATCATCATGGCTTGGTCTTTCTGGTGAGCAGCATCCATCCAGGAGCCCACCCAGAATCACTTCATTAGAGCAAAAAACACTCCTATCACCCAGGAAATTTCAAGGGCTTTAGTTACTTAGTCTTAGAAATCAGGGTCACTAAATATATAAGTATTTTCTACCATCTCACAGATACCAAAAGGGAAGCATGTCAAGACTAACAGTTTGCTCAATGTCCGGGGTGAAATAGAGACTAAATTCTGTGAGCTAAGAATTTTTGCTTTTGTTTGTAATCTCTAATCATGGTTTTTGCTAGCTAAATCTAACAATTCCTTTGTGTGTGGGGGTGCATGCTTTGTTGAGGTGTAATCAATATACAAAAAATTGCACATATTTAATATATCCATCTTGATGAGTTTGGACATGTGCATATATTCATGATGTCATCACCACAATCAAGATACTAAACATCTCCATCACCTCCAAAAATTCCCCTGTGCTCCTTTGTGTGTGTGTGTGTGTGTGTGTGTGTGTGTATGCATGTGTGATAAGAGCACATGAACTCACCTTGCATAACAGAAACTTTATATCCAATGAGCAGTAATTCTCTACTTCTCCTGCTGAAGCCCCTGAGCACCACTATTCTTCTGTAAGTTTGACTACCTTAGAAATCTCATAAGTGGAGTCATCAGTATTTGTTTTTCTGTGGCTGGCTTATTTCACTTATTTCCTCAAGATTCATCTGTATTGTTGCAAATACCAGGATTTCCTTCTTTTTAAAGGCTGAATAATATTCCACTATATGTATATGTCAAATTTTCTTTATCCAGTCACCTGTCAATGGACATTTGAGTTTTTCTGTATCTTGGTTGTTGTGAATAATGCTGCAGTGAACATGGGGGTGCAAATACCTCTTTGAGACCTTGCTTTCAATTATTTTAGATATATTCTCAGAAGACGGATTGCTGGATTATATAGTAGTTCTATTTTTAATGTTTAAGGACCCTGCATATCATTTTTCATAGTGGCTGCACCATTCTACATTTCTAGCAGTGTACAATGGTTCCAGTTTTTCCACATCCTCGCCATCACTTGTTATCTTTTGTTTTTTTTTAAGTAATAGCCATCTGAACAGGTGGAAGTGATATTTCATTGTGATTTTGATCTGCATTTCCTTGATCAGTGTTGCTGAGCAGCTTTTCATATGCCTGTTGGCCAATCATATATCTTCTTTGGGGAAATGTCTCTTCAATTCTCCTTGGCTCATTTTTTAATCAGGTTCTTTTTTTTTTGCTGTTGAGTTGCAGGAGATTTTTATATGTTTTAGATATTAATCCCCTATCTAGTAAATGGTTTGCAAATATTTTCTCCCATTCTTTTCACTCTTGTTTGTTTCCTTTGGTGTGAAGAAGCTTTTTAGTTTGACATAGTCCCATATACCTACTTTTCATTTTGTTGCCTGCAATTTTGTGACCTGTACTTCTGATCTTGTTGCCTGCATCAAATTCAAGAAATCGTTGCCAAGACCAGTATCAAAAAGTCCCTCCGCTCTCCATATTTTCTTTGAGGAACTTACTAGTTTCAGGTTTTACATTTAAGTCTTCTTGAGGTCTGACATTTAATTAATTTTGCATTGATTTTGTGAGTGTGTAAAATAGAGGTCCAGTTTCATTCTTTTGCATGTGGATATCTAGTTTTCCCAATATCATTTGTTGAAGAGACTTTTCTTTTCCCATCATGTGTCCTTGACACTCTAGTGAGAGATCAACCATGTGTGTGTGGGTTTATTTCTTGGCTTTCTAATATGTTTCATTGGTATATATGTCTGTCTTTATGCCAGCATCATACAGTTTTAACTACTGTAACTTTATAATTTATTTTTGAAATCATGAAATGTGATAACTCCAGCTTTGTTATTCTTTCTCAGGATTATAAAACTAACAATTCTTTATGGACATGTTGAGTGAATAATTTTCATGTCAGAGACTAGCTTCCCTTCCTTTCCCCAAAATAAAAATATTTTTAAAAATTATGCTAAAATAAAAAATAATCTCTGAAATTGCTGCATAGACTGAGGTTACAAGAAGACTATGCTTCGATATAATAGTTCCATTTCCCACATTGATGCTAATTTGTCTTTTAAACTTTGTTTCCTTTTCTTCTTCCTTAAAGGCTGCAAAGAATGGAGCCAGCAGCACAGTCATTGGTATGATCTTTGGGTGTTACTCTTTGTTTGACTTGCTGGCAGCTTTGGTATTTGGAAAATATCTAAGTATTAACGTTCATGTGCACATTTTAATTTCTAAAACTTGTGTAATGAGTTATTTTAATTTACTAGTCTAGAAATTCCATTGATACAAAAATAACCACCATTGTATTTTATGAGTTGTGCCACTGTTGACACTTCCATTCTTAGGGCTGATTGATTTTTAACTTCTTCTATATTTGGAAGTAATGTATGTTGTCACTCAACTAAAGAATTGTTCTGTATTAATTGTACTTAGCTTCCCCATATCTTATATTTTCTCATGCAGTAGATTTGTTTATGTCAATATAGACTTGCAGTAGTCATCAATTTCTCTACTTTTCTTTGACATTTATTATAGCTTGTACAAATTGGAGCAAAATTTATGTTTGTAGCAGGGATCTTTGTCTCAGGAGGAGTTACAATTATCTTTGGGTAAGTGATGTTCTGATATGTTTGAGAGCTTGAACAGAATTTGTAATCCATCTTCAGTTTAAAGTATTAATGTACTCTTTAAATCAGTCAGTACCATTGATTGTCTTTTGAATGCCTGGCATGTGACTAGTGGTAAAGGGAGTTGGGTATCTTAGCAGAATGAATGTAAAGAAGAGAATCCTCAAGGGACTCACTGTTAAGCTGGCTACTGATTCTATTCATTAGAATCCTGTGACTGTGAGTCACAGAAATTTAACTCACTTTTTGGAGTCATAGGAAATTTTTGGCCTAAGCCAAAAAGTGCATTTCTTACCCAATCAGCTGAAGAAAATCAGGATACAGATGTTAAAATACTGTCATCAGAAATTTCTCTCAAGTGCCTGGTTTTGCGTTTCTTTTCTGTTGCTTTGTTCCTGGACAAACTTTCCCCTTGAGATGACCATAATGGCCCTGGCTGCTCCTGTAGGAAGAGAATGCCACTGTCTTGGTAGCTGCTAGTAGAGTCACATATCAGAGCCCCAGTGGCCTGATCTTTGTTGGTAACTCATTCCGGCTTGAAGGTCACTGTAACCAGGAAGAGATACTCTGATTGTCTAGGCCTGAGTCACGTGCTCACATCTGAGCATGGGAGCCCAATGGTTCCCTCCATTGCTATTTTCAGAAAAAGGGGAAATAATTGCCAGAGACAAAATAGCTATCGAAGTTCTTAAGCTTAGAGTCCTTAAACAAGCCTCAGAGTGGCAGCAAATATGGAAGAGCTTACATAGGTTTGGGGGGAACATAGAGGAATCACAAGAGTACATAGTAAGATTACAATGAAATAAGCTCAGGAAAACCTTCATATCAAACTAAGTGTTTTTCTGTTTTCTCTTGTTTTTGTGGGAGCAGGTCTTCTATTTTCTGCATTCATTCTCTTTTTGGAGGTTTGAGCCGCACCTGGCTGAGGGGGTGGGGGGGACCTGAAACTCAGAAGTCTTTCTTCTGTATGGGTTCTTGCCAGAGTGATTCTGTATGTTTCAAAAAGCCTATTTAGTATTAGTGTTTAGGAGATTCATTTTGTCAGCAGAAAAAGACAACTAAACTGTCATTATGACTCAAATTGTTACAAAAAACAAAGAGGTAATTTCCTAATACTGTAAGTATAATAAAGCAACTTAAAAAAAATAAAAAACTTTACAAGTATATAATAAACCACATATTTTAGAGATTTATTCTAGTAAGTATACTAGATTTTTTCAGTGAGTAGAGTTAAAAAGGAGAAAAAAATCCTCTCAATCTTCCTTTCTTTTAGCATTCCAGATGGATCAATATTTATTGCTAATGCCAAAAAACGTACTGTTAGTCTTGTTTAGGTCTCTGGCTGGTCTTAGAATCCCCTAAATGGGCAGTTCAATAAGTAAATGTGGTCCAAAGCAAATCTTCTTCTTTTGCCATTTTTTTAAAAAACCTCCCTAGTAGTATCTTGCTGACCTTCTGTAGCCTGCATTTTGGCTGAGCTGCTGGAAGCATGCCTCTGTTTGGGAAAAGAGTTATCCTCCATGCGCAAACACTCTATTTCCCAGGTTCATGGAAGAAACCTTAGAGATCATCTTAAAGACCTTAAGTGCTTCTTTGCAGTGTGAGGATTGCCCTCTAATTTAGCCATAAAAATCGAGATCTTTGTAGCTTCATACTGATGTATATTTTCATATATTGCCTAGATCCTTAGACACGCTGCTAACAGTAACCAGATTCCCATCCTATCTCTTGGCTGCGCCCTCCGTGACCCCAAGAAGGCTTTTCCATAGTGCTTTTCTCTGGATCCTTGCATCCCTGAAGAATCCATAGTCTGCATATGGGCCCAAATGCCACCCCCAGAGCATCTAGTTGTCATCTAGACCTCAGGGCCTAATCAGCTTAGCACCAAGGATTCACTCATTTATCCATATCAATACTATAGTTTGAGAGTTTGACCACTGAATACACTAGTGCCTGTGTAAATAATTATTTCTTCCCACTTTGCATCAAATACTGTATCTATTTCTGTATCTATATCTGTTGACTTGGATGGTGATTAAATGTAGAATTCCTGTCTTATTTATGAAATGTTGAAAGTTATTAATGAACTTTTATATCCACTGTGAGGTCTGAGAATGTACGGTGGCAAGGCACAGGTCTCTGTTGAAAGCCCCTAAAAACCAGGTTGATTCAAAATGGTACAATTTCTGTAATAGTTCTGTGATAGTAAACTATTTTCCATAATACTATTTTATTTTAATTCTAACAGAAAAAGAATTTCATATGGTATAAAATTTAAAAGTTATAAAAGGAAATATGGAATATAATAAATATATTACCTATCCTTGGCCTTCATAGACACATCTCTTGTCCAGGCACCCAGTCCAATATCATCCTTCAAGAAGGCAACAGATATTACAGGTTTCTTCTGGACTGATTCCACATGTGCACATGCAGGTGCATGCATGTAACACTCACACTCACACACACATACACACACACACACACACACACAACTGAGAAAGCATGGTTCTTTCCCCTATATATTATTTATTATAGTGGTTACATACTTTGTGCACTGTTAGAATCTTGCTGATATACTAACAATGAAATCATTTTGGAGATCTTTCTATACCTATACATCAAGAAGTTCTTATTCTTGATTTCTCTTTAATGATAGCATAGTATTTTGCTGTATGGAAAAACATACATCCAGTTTATTTATATTGTTTATGAATATTTAGGTTTTTTACATCTTTCAGTTTGGAAATAGTGCTACAGTACATAAGCTTGTGCACATACCACGTCACCTCCTTATGGCTATACCCGTAAGTTAGATGCCCAGAAGCAGCATTTGGGTTCAGAGTACATGCACTTGTAATATTGACAGATTTGCCAAATCGCCCTCCTTTATTCACTCTCCTGCAAGAATACTTCTTTCCTCACTGTTTTGGCAGTGTGGAGTGTTTGATAAGTGATAGCAAAAATCGGCATCTTGTGGTTTAAATGTTCACTTCTTTTAAAGCAAGGGTCAGCTTTCTTTTACATGCCTACGAGCTATTTTTATTTTCTTCAGCTGTCAGTAGTCTATAGCATTTGTCCATTTTCCTGTTGGGTTGTTCCTTTCCTCCCCACTGTTTAGTATTAGCTCTCTTGATGTATTTGGTGAAATTAGTCCTTTGTCAGTACTTTTTCCCTATTCTTATTTGTCTTTTGATGTGTTTAGCCATCTGTAGTTTTTCATATTTTCATGTGATCATATTAATCAATCTTTTGTGTCTCCTGAGTTTTATATTGTAATTAGAAGACCTTCAGCACTATATAAGGGTTAAAAATAAAACAACTCCCTCATTTTATTTTTCTAGTACTAGTATGACTTCAATATAATATGCTGACACTTTTGGTCCATCTTGGGCTTCTGTGTGTAAATTGTGAAGTGGATAGAATTTTTTTCAGACAGTGTCCATTAAATCTTCATTTGTTACTTCTTCAGGCAAAATGCATTGACTCAATTTTCTTTTGTTTTCCCATTTTTAGGGAAGTTTTGAGATTTTTTCTGGACTGAAACTAGTGCTCGGGCCTCCTTTAGGTGGCTTCTTATATCAATCCTGTGGCTATGAGGTGCCTTTTATTTCTCTGGGATGCATAGTTCTGCTGATGGTACCACTCAACATACGTATTTTACCTGATAATGGTAAGATCACATTTGTTACTCACTTTAAGAATCTTCAATGCAAATATTTTTATGCTTAAGTATTGTTATACCAGTTTAACAAATGCTCAATTTTATTTTGGACAATCAATAATAGAATGTTAAAGCACCCTGAAAGAACTGATTCTCTTTTCAGAAACACTGCTGTAGGTAACCAGTTTTTATGAATTTCTGTATATCACAAATTCTTTCTGACTTTTTGAACTAGATATTTAATGTCTCATCATAAAGCATCACCATATGAAGGGTTCACTAGAAGTCTTTTTGGAGTTAATTAAATATTCAGAATGACAAGTTACCATGGATCCCAGATGGTGCCATCTTCTTGGAAGGCTATAAGATAGGAAAGGAGGTCAGACCTTCCTTCCCAGGGACCCTTGCAGCTAGCTGTCTGTGAGCATGGCCCCAGTGTGAGGACTCAAGGGCTACATCAGGGAGTAATGGGAGTCATCTTCGCCTCAAACTTCATGCCCAGAGTAGTCAAACTATCCTATAACAATCCCATAGGCATAGCTGCATGAAGGACACACCAGGTACAAGGGTCCACACACTCACAGAGGCACAAAGCCTGGTTCATTTATAATTACTTCCGTATGGCTGAAATTTACCAGGCAGGGGTTATATTTACTATAAGCAAGATTGCCCAGTAACATAACTAGCTTTTTGCCCTTACCAGATTACAAGGAGAACAAAGCTAGAGAGTTAGTTAACAGCAGGGCTAAAGAGGAGAGCTAGAGATCATTTCTAGAGAGGGACTATCACCCTAAAACCACGGTGGCACTTGTCATTTTTCTACATATGATGACCGTGGTTTCTGTAGTTGAGCATCCTGGTTGCTTGGTTCATGGATGAACACGTGACTGATAATTAAGAAGCTAACACCAGGTGGGAGTCTCACGCAGTGGGGAAAAGAGTTTTGTTCACCCTTTACCATATGAGGAAAAAAGACTTTGCTCGCTAAATAATGGTAGGACATGGTATTTAAAAATTCTGTGGTTAGCTGCTCTCCTCATCCCCTCGCAACTCTCCCCCACCCTCCACTCGGCATCTGTTGCTGTCCCCTCTCTTCACCTCCTTTAGGTGGCTTCTTCTATCAATCCTTTGGCTATGAGGTGCCTTTTATTTCTCTGGGATGCATATAGTTCTGCTGATGGTACCAGATTAGTTACTTGGCAGTTATTTCTCTTCATTTCTGTTACTCCTCAACTAAAATTTCCCTGCATCTTCATTGAACTTAACAAAGTCCCCGTTAGCTATACTTTTATGAGCAAATGTTTGACAAACTTGCTGTTTATCTGTGGAAAGAACTTCTATTTAAATGAATGGAAAAACTGGCATTAAAAAGATTCTATCCCAGATGGATAATGTTATGGTTGTAAATGTAGGTTTGGGTGTTCCTATGAAGGAGTATTTTTTAGGACCATTGTTTTGAAAGAACTTATAGATAGAAGCTAAAAAGTTAAATTTTCTTTTATTTTGATGATATTGGCAGATTTTGTGTTCTACAAGTCCTACCCCACCCCTTTACCTCCTTCAAGACCCATAGACAAGGTGGCTGAGAGCCAGCGGTGGTCTCTTCTTCTCCCACATCCTTCATATCCGCTCACCAAGGCCCCTCTTCTGTACTGCTCTCAAGAAGTATTTCTAAAACATAGTCATGGACATGCCAACTCTCTTATCAAAAATCCCTAAATCCATGAAATGTGAACTTTATCCAGAAAACCATTAGGAGCCAGTGTTAGATTTCAGCAGAGGAGTCACAGGATCTGAAATTTCTTTCCCTCCCTGCCTACCTAACCCTTGTGCATCCTTCCAAACTGAATTTGTGTTACTCCTGTGGGAAACTTTCCTGAGCCTTCTTGACCATTGGCCGAAGTGCTGAGCAGGTAGAGCTGCAGTGCTCAGCACTTCTCCTGGCCCCTCCCACCTGAGGGGTATCCTCCATCCCTCCACATTGCCTCCCCTCCCCTCCACCAGCATCCTCCTATGACAGGGATTGCCAACCAGGCAGTTGATCCCTCTAAAAGAATCTATCAGCATTGGAGGGAGCAGAGAGAGGACCTGCGTAGGTTGGTGATTCTGCCATGTGTCTCTTGAAGCAAGTATCACCCTAAGTTCTCATTATCTGGGCTTCTTCAACAGCTTAATTAAACTCATGTGTTTGTTTTCATGGACATTCTTATATATTCTTGTTTTAAACACTTTTCCCACTTTGGATTTAGAGAAGGGGAACATTTATGTCATAATAGTTTGTCTTATGCCATAAATCTATAATATCTTTTTATATGCACAATAACTTTAACTGATGAAAGTCGATGTTTTATAATTAATATCTTAAAGGTGACTAATGAACATCTTTAGTATCCAATTCAAATGAATTCTCCCTGCCGGCCCTACCACTCGGAGCCACACGGTGGTGCTTGTCCTCCATCCGAGTCTAACTACACCCTCCTGTTTCCGTAGGTGAACGTCCTTCCCTGGGCACAGTTGGCTCAATGTTGAATGTTTGGCTGATAATTAAGAAATTAACCTGGTTTAACTCTGTCCCTCCTATCCCGACGAAGTCTAAATGTAGCAGTTCACATAGCTGAGCCATTCCTTGTGCTTTTTTGTATTTTGCTGCATACTGGATCATTATTCGCCAGCAATGTGTTAAGTAATGAACCATGGGTGGATGCCACTGGAGAAGTGAGGAAACAGGGGTGCTGATTCCGGCCCTCAAAGAGCAGCCTCGTCCAAACCTGGCCGCTGTCATCTCTGGCCTCGCTCCCTGCAGAAGCTTCCTGGCTGGTCCCTGGCACAGAGAACTCTCTTAAATCTGTCCATAAGGAAATCTCTTTAAGCTGCAAACCTGATTCTCACGCCTTGTATGAAATCCCTAGTGATCGCTCAAGTTTCTTAGCATGTTTTACAAAGCCCTGCTGAGTCTTACCACCATATTCTTCTGCAATAATTGATTCCTCTCCCAACTATGCTTGTATCCCTTCCTCCAATGTCTATCCTCTAATTTTGTTTCTCCTCTTTCATGTCCTCAACACAGAAGTTTCCTCTTACCTTTGAGTCTTGCAATGTAACATGTCATTCCTGGAATAACATGCCTGGATTATTTTTCTTCTTTCTTGCCTGCTCATCTTAAGCTCATCCTTTAGGCACAAACTTAGATAAAACTGCTTTTGGAAAGCCTGCTAGTTCCAACCCAACTCTCTCCACTCCTTACTGTAACTTTTCTGGAAGGACAGGGTCTGGGTTTATCTGCCCAGCATTTTGCATGGTACCTGGCTCAGCAAGGCTTTTGTTCAGTAAATTGATTGGAAGGTAAGAAAGTCACCAAATAATAGTGAACAATATAAAATTAAGTATCCTTTAGGTGCTAAAATATATGGTATAGAATAGGCAAGAGGAAGGTAAATTTTGTGTACTGATTACAGCCAGAGCCAGACCTTACAGAGTGAATAGAAGCTGACAAATTAATAGGAGAAGAAAACAGCCATAGGATGTGACTAGGGGCGGAAACAACCCTGCCTAGTGCTGAGAACAGTGAGAATGAGGAATGCTGGGAAGTGAGGTTGGTGCTCCATTGACCTTGAATGCCAAATATAATTTACTCATGATTCAGTATCACCCCTCTCAATCCAGTGATTTTTTTTTTCCAGCAGAAAATCATTTCCTTGTGTTCTTTGATTACTTCAGATTCCTCCCCAGCATACACACATTGTTTCTTAACAAAATTTCTGGCTTTGCCCCTGCACAAATATTTAACACACATTCTCTGTCTCATCAGAGCGAGGCCTCACTTGCTTCTCATTTTTAACCAATAGTCTAAGACCCCTTCCCCTCACACTGATTCCAGTTGATTCTTTTTGAATTTGGGAAATTGTTTTTAAGAAAACTGAATATGGCCTCTAGGTTTGAATAACTTATATGCAAATACAAATAATATTCAATTTTAGGCAAGCTCAGAGGTACAGTTATTGTGGTTACCAGATGAAGTGGTTTTACCAATTTTACTTTACACAACAGTTAAAAGATAAATTAAGTGATTTTAATTACTCTCATTTCTTTTTTCATTTTTACCCCAGAGTCTGATCCAGGTGAACATTCATTCTGGAAACTCATCACTTTACCCAAGGTCACCCTTATGGCCTTTGCCGTCAGCTCAGTCAGCTCATGTTTCGGCTTCCTTGATATTATTCTGTCTCTCTTTGTTTTGGAGAAAGTAAGTACTTTGACTGCTGAAGAGCTCTGCTTGGAGAAGCTGGACGTGATTGCTTGCTTGTGGACCCTGCTTTGCAGAAAGTTCTCTGCATGGCTTCAAGAAGGAGGCAGAATTAGGGACACCCAGGTAGCTGTACCTCCTCTCTGTGACATCCCTATAACTAGGGGTCTGATTCAGTGTAAAATGAGAGAAGCCTCTTACTAAGGGGCTCGAGCCTTGGTCTCCTTTCTAGAGGAGGAGACCTTGGATCCGTTCATGTGGTTGCAAACAGCAGGATATTTTTTAATTGCTGAATAATATCCCCTTGTGTTTATGTACCACATCTTGTTTATCCATTTATCTATTGATGGCCACTTGGGTTGCCTCCATACCTTGGCTGTTATAAGTAATGCAACAATAAATATATGGGTGCATTATCTTTTCAAATCAGAGATTTTGTTTTCTTCGGGTAAATTCATGGAAGTAGAATTACTAGGTTGAATGGAATTTCGATTTTTAGTTTTGTGAGGAACCCCCATATTGCTTTCTACAGTGGTTGCACCAATTTGCAGTCCCACCAACAGTGTAAGAGGGTTCCCGTTTCTCCACATCCTTGCTAACTTGTTATTTCTTGTCTGTGGGACAGTGGCCATTCTAACTGGTGTGAGATGACACCTCATTGTGGTTTTGATTTGCATTTCCCTGATGATTAGCGATGTGAAGCATCTTTTCATGTGCCAGTTGGCCATTGTACTTCTTCTTTGGAGAAATGTCTGTTCAGGTCCTCTGCCCATTTTATAATTGGGTTATTTGATTTTTTGATGTTGAGCTGTATATGTTCTTTATATATTTTGGATGTTAACCCCTTATCAGATAAATCACTTACAAATATATTCTCCCATACTGAAGGTTGCCTTTTTGTTCTGCTGATGGTGTCCTTTGCTGTACAGAAGCTTTTTGGTTTGACGTACTCCCACTTGCTCATTTTTTATTTTGTTTCCCTTACTCAAGGAGATATGTCCAGGAAGAAAATTAGTCAAGCTTATATTCAAGAGACTTTTGTTTTCTTCCAAGAGTTTTATGGTTTCAAGTCTTACATACAGGTCTTTGATCCACTCCAAGTTTACTTTTGTATATAGAGTTAGTAATCCAGTTTCATTCTTTTGCACGTAGCTGTCCCATTTTCCCAACAGCAGTTGTTGAAGAGGCTGTCATTTCCCCATTGTATATTCATGGCTCCTTTATCATATACTAATTGAGACTATGGGCTATATTAATCTGAGATGTTGGAAAGAAACTGAGTCTCCATTTTTTAGTGCTGAAAATAAACACTGAATTCTAAAAGTTTGATGTCATAGAAATGTGTTCTTAGGTATTTTTGGAAAAAGATGATTAATGATATAGCAAAGTGTATTACCAAGTCAGAAATCTACTAGCTGCAGCCCATATGACTTTATCTGAGACACTTGAAGTACAAAAGCAGTTGTAAGAAACACAAACCCTTGAAGCCACTAAAGACAGTTTTGGGTATTTCACAGATAATCTCAGGGACTATAATTTTAGTGCCTGGCCCAAGGTCTAGAGAATAATATAATACCACACCTTAAACATTGAACATCCATGAGGTAACACATAGGAAAAATCTTTTGTGTTTATGTGACATATTCTATTCACACTATTGACATGTCTCATTAAAGGTAATTTTTCTGTTCTTCAAATAAGTGCCCAAACAATGAAAGAAATTTGTACCCATCTCTGGTAAACCCAAGGTGTTCATGCTCTATCTTATAAAAAATCTTTAGAAATGTATTTTCCTGTTTTTGTATCACATTTTTAAAATCTTATTGACCTTCCTCTGACTTCTTTTCAGTTGCTTGAATTGGTAGTTCACTGTCCAGTTATTGGTTGCCTAGCCTTTTAGTGTAGGAGGGTTCCCCTGTCTCTCACAGTTGTAGAATCAGAAGAAGATATTTTTTACTTCTTTATCTTGCTACTATCCGTAAAGGACTCATTTTTAGGTTGTGTTAGTATTTGTCAGAAAAATTGTTAAAACATATACTGACTCATAGACAAATCTCATGGGCTTACTTAAGAAAAATGAGAACTCAGTTAGGAAAAGGCATTTATATCATGTTGGTAATAATAACAGTATCAGAGTTATGTGGTAGCTTACTGTTTTAAAAGCCTATTATATTTCATCATACCATCTAATTATTTAATTAAATATTAATATGCCTTTGAGATGGAATAAGAGATAGTCTCATCAGTGTTTTTACACCAGTGTACAGGGTACAGTGAACATCACCTGGGAATTTGCTGGAAATGCAAATTCTTAGGCCCATCCCAGACTTTTGATTCAGAAATTCAACCCCTAGAGATTGGGTCTAAGATCTCCTTTTAACAAGTTCTCCAGGTAATTTTTGTGCACACTAAAGCTTATAAAGTGGTGGTTTACGTTTAAAAATGCTATGATTCATAGAAGCAAAAAATTATATGTTTAATATCAAACATTACAAAGCCAAAGTTCTAGGAATTCTGACCTCTGGTTAGGTTTTTCTCCCCTATAGACAAAAAGTCACCAATTTACAAAAGTAAAACAAAAGTAGGAAGAATGCTGACAAAAATTAGGAAGGTTGCTGAGTATTATCAGTAGAAAACTTACGGTAGAAAACAAGAACTGAAGAAATAAATGATAAGTGGAAAAGAGAGATGTTTATTTACAAAGTCTTAACCATCTAATATGAGACTTATTTTACAGTTTAATTTACTAGCTGGATATGTGGGACTGATATTCCTGGGTTTGGCACTATCCTATGCCATTTCTTCACCATGCTTTGGTCTATTAAGTGACAAAATGCCAGTATGTACATTTCATTTATAGTTAAGAATTGCTTTTGTATGTTGTTGACTACGGAATTTCCAACTGCATCTCCAGAACTCTAGAGGCCCATTGATGAGAACTGACATAGTCAATATTTTAAAAATTTCAGCTTTATTGAGGTATAATTGAGTAAACTTGTAAGATGTTTAAAATGTACATTTGTGTATGTATACACTGTGGAAGGAGTCCCTATCTAATTAACACATCTATCACCTCAATTATTTCCTTTGTTGGGAGGAATGAGAGCGGTTATGTTCTAATATATTAGGTTTTTTGAGCTGTTGGAGAGGCTCCAGTGTGAGGTTCCAGTATCTTCTGAACAGTCCTCACCCTAAGCAGATTGACTCTTAATTTCTTTCTCTAAGAAAAGGGGAGTCTTATGCTAAAACTGTTAAAAACTATTGGATTAGACTTTCTGAAGAAAAAAAACTCCCTGATGCAAAAAAATGAACTGACCTTAATAACTAGAGCAGAATCCCAGCTGTAATTAAGATTTGATCAAATTTAGAGGAGACAATTTAGTTTTCTGTGGGAATGAAGGATTAGCCATGTAAATATGCATGATTATCCCATGGTCATTCTGACAGAAAATCCCTTTTATTCCCCTTTGACTTGTTCTAAATCATTCAGATTAGACAACTGATACAGAGAACTAGTAATGTTAGCCAAATCTCAAGCTTCTGTGGCTTTAGCACTTTGTTTTCCTCTATTCATTAGATTTACATATATATTATCAATTACCTGTTACTTAGTAATCAGTGTGACAAAAATGTGTTGAACAGTTTCTGGAATTTGCTTTTGAGACATGCTCTTATATAACTGAGAAGATATTGTACCCCTATAATTATTAGCCTGCTTTCAAGTAGTTTACATGGAAAACATTTATTTGGTACTTTTTTAATAATGTGAATTTTCTAGATATTATATCTATTTGGGGGTTCCTTGCCATGACTGTTTTTAAAATTGCTTTATTTGGAATAGTTCATGATGTGCAAAATCTACGATGTACTCCCTTCATAAGGAACCCTGTCCGCTAACTCCCTCTCTTGGGGTATATGGTCCTTGCTTTTGTGTTTACCAGCTGCCTAGTTTTGCTTAAATGTAAAATTTTCTTTTTGTCAGTGTATTTGGAATTTTGAATATCATGACTTGTGTTCTTCAATGATTTTTTTGTAATTTTGATTATGGAAGGTCTTTACCTCTTAAAGTTTCTTTGGACTCTCCTTACCAGCATCTAAGGACAGGTTTGTGGTGTTTGGACACTTCATTACAGCAGGATGCTACATACTCTTAGGACCTGTCGCAGTCTTACACATTAAAGATTAATTTATTCTATGTTTTTTGGCTGCAGCATTTTAGAAATTATTTCAAAAATTTTTGGTGTAATGCTAGGTATGGTTTTATATTCTGAGCCTTATTATTTAAATAATTACTGCTATTTGGGACTATATTGAATTGTTAGAATGACAGCATTTTACCATACTAGAAACTAGTGTAATACAAGCAAACAAGAATGCATAAAACCCTCACCAAATGAGAGAAATGCTTATTCTCCCTTCAGGTTTCAGTTGCACGGTCGTGCCTCACTTTGAAAATAGCACTGTTGTCACCTGCCTTTAGCTGATAAAATTTTAGAGTGTATTTTTGTTTTGTTTTTTTCCAGTCCTCTACTTGTTTCTTGAAACAGGGACCAAATCATTTTTGTTTCTGTATCATCCTTAGTGTGTAGTAGCTGCTCATTAAGGACTGTGTATTTGCTAAAGTAAAGTGAGCTTCTTAGAGATTTTCAGGTGCTCCTGAGAAAAGCATGCTATGGAAAGCAAAGATTTCAGGGTCCTGCGGATGTGGGTTTGCATTCTGGCTTTGCCACTTCCTAGATATGTGAACCTGGAGGAACTTCTGAGAGCCTCAGTTTTCTCATTTACACAAAGGTGCTGATAATACTTCCATAGCAGGATTGCTGCAGTGATTCAGTGCAGGTAGCAGATGTGAAATAACTGGCATTGTGCAGGGCATGGAACAAATACGTTTCCTGTTACATCCTTTGCTACCCCCTGCTATGCCATTTTTCAGTCAATTGAATTTCAAAGCCAAGTGATTGAAAGAACATTAGCATTGACATTTTCACCAATTTTGAGAGGATTTTGTATGGTGATAGGAAGGCAGGTTGACTGCAGGCATGTGATCTGTGTAACCAAAGGGAACTGAGAAATGAGGGTAATTGATTTCTTCTCCCCAGAATGTAAGGAGCTAAAAGGTGCTGTCACTGAGAGAAATGGGGTCAGATGGGAATGAGGATGAGACTAGCCATATCACCTATGAAAGTGATGCTGAGGTTCTTGTTTGCAGAGCTGAATGATCTTAGCAAACAGTCAAGGTAGGAGAGCCAGGGAGACTTTAAGAGATACAGTGAGAGGACAGACAGAGCTCCTGGTGTGAGCCAGGAGGGGACAAGAGAACCCGTGGTGGTGCGTTGTCTAGGGGTTTTATAGGCAGTAGGGGTGTGCACTTGTTAAGTGGTCCCTGAATATTAAAAATTAACTTAACATAAGGAATTTCCTGCCTTGATTTCTCTCCGGGATACCAGTGTCTTGGTCTGGGAGCAGATCAAAAGGCTGCCTGCCCAGCCCACAAGGGTTAGCAGACAGTATTGCTTATGAAGGGAGTACATTGTAGATTTTGCACATCATAAACTATTCCAAATAAAGCAATTTTAAAAACAGTCATGGCAAGGAACCCCCAAATAGATATAATATCTAGAAAATTCACATTATTAAAAAAGTACCAAATAAATGTTTTCCATGTAAACTACTTGAAAGCAGGCTAATAATTATAGGGGTACAATATCTTCTCAGTTATATAAGAGCATGTCTCAAAAGCAAATTCCAAAAACTGTTCAACACATTTTTGTCACACTGATTACTAAGTAACAGGTAATTGATAAATATATATGTAAATCTAATGAATAGAGAAAAACAAAAAACAAAGTGCTAAAGCCACTCTGTCTGTTTGCTAAAGAGTAAGTTAAGAATCTTACTTGTTAATCTTTCTGGGTGTTAAAATGCAATCTTATCTTTAAGGTGGAATCCTTCCTGCCTTTTACTATGTTGTTTACAGCTGGGTCTGCATGCTAAATCAGTTGCCCAGTTTGCAAAATCACTTCATCAGATCTGGAGGAGGAAAGACAGCACATAGGCCTGGGCCTTTAGCATGCTAAAGTGAACCTTACACATGATTATAAATGATTAGCATAATGAAAACATGTGCTACTCTTCTTTATCTGGGGAATATTAACTGATCTCACTGAAGAATGACTCTAGAGCTTAATGTTTTGGTAGGGGGTTTCCTTGTATGTACTTACATTGCTCTGACTATAAATATCCTGCTTTGCTTTTTCCAGAGGCCCTCACCCTACTCTGACTACACCCCGCAGTTCCTGTCTCGAAAGGAACTTCTCTGGGATCCTGCCTGCCCTCTTTAATGTGAAACTTTGTGTCTCTTAAAATGTTTATTTATTTTTTCTTCTGTATCTCCTTTGCAGCCAGCTTTGGATATTGTTTCTGGTATTAGTCATAAATGACATCTCTGCTGGAATGAGTGTCATCCCAACTTTCCCAGAGGTTCTCAATTGTGAGTAGTAAGTTACTTCTGTTGCTTGAAGACCTGTGTTGTGAATAGCTGTGGGCATCAAAGGCTTTCTTGAATTTCTCAATTTTGAAGGATGCTCATGTGTTTTCACAATACTAAATCTTTATGATTTCATGTACCACAGTACTGTGATATAAATAGCATAAGCAATAATACAATAACATAAATGATAAATATAATGACATTAATAGAGTAATAGGTAAAATGAGTTGTGTATAAAGGTGTGGCATGGTTTATGCTTTGGTATATATTTTTAAAAGGCAAAGCAAAATGGAAAGGTTTCAGCATTGTTCCTTTCTCCTGGAGAAGGTCCATAAGAGAGCAGAGTACCAGATAAAATTCCAGTACTAATTCCGTTTGGTGGGGTATTTTCCCATGCCTCCAGGCACTTCCTCACACCAACTGAGTATCCTACAGTTAAACTCCCTTCTGTCACTATAAACCTGAGACAACTTCTGATTCTGCAGGATAAAGGTTCAGTCCCACAAGATGCCCCCTGCTTTAGCTCAACCACACGTCTACGTGTTCACCTGTCCTTCTGACAAATTGATCAGCTATAAATCAGGAGTTCCCATGACCCCCTCCTTGTGTTTGATTAACTTGCCAGTGGGGCTCACAGAGCTCAGGAAACCAGTTTGTTCACTAGATTACTGGTTTATTACAAAGGATGTTAAAGGATACAAATCAACAGCCAGATAAAAAGATACACAGGGCAAGTTCCTGAACACAGGAGCTTCTGTCCTTGTGGAGTTCGGGGTCGGGAAGCATTCTGGTTCACCAACCTGGCGGATCTCTGAATGCCATCCTTTTGGGTTATTTGGAGGCTTCATTACGTAGGCATGATTGATTAAATCATTTGCCATTGGTGATTGATTCAACCTCAAGCCCCTTTCCTTCCCAGGAGGTGGGGCGAGGGTGGGACCAAAAGTTCCAGTCCTCTAATCACATGATTAGCTCTCCTGTTTAAGTTATTTTAAACACAAATACTGAGAAGAATAGAGAGAATAAAGATTCTTTTGATCTTTTGAGTTCACATCATATTTTTTTTAATTTTCATAATAAACATTTGAGAAGTAGTTATAATTTTAGAATGGTTTAAAATTTTTAAGCCTTATCATTATCAGGTAGAATTATTTGCTCAAACTAATGCTCTGTCCAGGAATTGGCTTTTTTCTTTAGTACTTACACTTTCAATTTAATAAAGCCTTATGATTGAGGGATCATGCAGCCTTTAGGAAGCAACTCTTTTTTTTTTATCTGCATTTTTTTTTTGTAGATAATTATTTTTTATTGAGGGGTAGTTGACACACAGTATTACATTAGTTTCAGGTGTACAACACAGTGATTCAACATTTATATACATGATAATTCTACCTACCAGCTATCACCATACAAAGTTGTTACAATGTTTTGACTATATTCCTTATGCTATACATTATATCCCGGTTACTTATTTATTTTACAATTGGAAGTCT